AGGAAAGGTTTTTAAATATTGTTACAATAAAATACCCATAAAGCCCAGTGTACAACTTGGGCCTAGTTATGCTGTAAAGCCCGGTGGCAATGCATTTCCAACTGGGCCCGAGCCAACTGTGATATTCATCGTCACCAACTCACCATACGCTAAATCATGAATGAGATCTGTCACAATTAGATACGTCTGATTGCTTTACTATCCAAGTCCCAAACACAACCTTATGCAAAACTACTCTAATGTACGTTATTAACTGAAGAGAACTAATCTTAAAGTTATAGCTTCTGACAGATATTTTTCGTGGACAAAGTTAGCATGTATCCTAATTTGACCTAGTGAATATTTCAATTCCAAAGCAAAGTTAAACTTCTAGGAAAAGATTCAGGCAATTAAAGTAGAATTACATTCTAGTAATTTAGGGCTTTGATCTGCCTTGTAGCAACTCACGAGCCAAATATTCCCACCAGTTTTACCCAATTGTATAGACCTTTACCACTTTAGACGTGTCACAAACGACCAAGTTTTCCGAGTCAGAGGGAGTCGTGCAGAGCCAATTAACCTGACAAGGCAAAAACACAATTAACCTGATAAATATGGTTAATTAAAAAAATACCTCGAGCTTTTTGATTAATACCCTCTACATTGTATAGGGAGCATTGGCAATTTAAGCAAAGGAATTTTTTTTGCCTAAATCTTATTTTAATTAGGTAAATAACAAGCTCAACGGAAGTTTCTAGACCTTTCTCCTCAGACTAATGTTCGAACACACGAGAGGGTCACCACCATCATTGCTAGCCAGATCAGCATCAAAAGCTTTCGACCAATCCCAAATCTTCACCGATTTATCATTCCCGCCTGATATCACAAACTTTCCTTTCTCCCCAAACATGGAAAAGGCCCTGATGATGAAGAGTGTTAACTGTTACGATTTACGAATAAATACCGTTTAATAATAAAACGTTCGTTAATATGCAGCCAGCTGGCTCTCTTACACTGAGGATACTGAAGCTACGTGTCCGCCAATAGAGTAATCCAATTTCAGGTCTCTACTATCATCTTGGTTTGTTGTTGTGCTTTCACAATCGGCTTGGGTTTTCTTCGTTTTTGACGATTTTTTTGATTTGCTGGCGGTGGTTTGAAAATCGAGATTGATTATGCTGATGATGCCATCTCCTCTGGCAGCTACACAGATTTTGCCGATTTTGTCGACCATATCAAGTTCGGGAAGGATTATTGAGTGCACGAAAGGTGGGTTACAGCACTGTTCAGATCCATTCTCACTGCCTGTATGAGGTATAATAAATTGATAATCCATTTTCAGACAATTGAGAATGAAGAAGATGCTTCAATTGGCAAAAGAAAAGAACTTTGAGGATCAAATTTGTATCGATTAGCTAGCTCACTATGGTTTGGCTTAGCTTGGAAAGAACAGATGAATAACTTACCACCAGCTATTCACAATGAATTCATCATAATTCAGATAATTCTTTCGAGAAAATTTTTTATATATCTTCTAGGTTTTTGGAATAATTGTTAACAATGTACACGAATTATGAAAAGTTCAATACACTGATGATCTGCAAATAAAAAGCTTAGACATGGAAAAGCTCTCTCTCCATAAAAAAAAATAAAATAAAAGGATGAGAGCAGCAAATGGCACTGTTACCAAAATCGATAGTTTTGTTTGCACGTCCTTTGGAGAAGTCCCACACCACAAGTTTCGAATCGAAACCCCCAGTGATAACTGAAAGAACATGATAAGAGAAAACAATTGTGGATCAAAGACATCTATTGCAGATACTATAGAGAAACAGACAATAAGAAGAATCATTTTTCGCAATTAAACTATATCCAACACAACCATGGCTTGGGTACAATTACATGACTATTTTGTATTCATACCTTCCCACGATCTCCAAGGAAGAAACTGAACACTGCTGCAAATCTGAGAATAGTGAGTACAATCAAATGAACTTAAATTTCCACAAAGCAGGAAAAGGGATATTTGATAATTCCAGGAAGTAATAATACTGTGTGGACATTATTACCTAGGCAGATTTTAAGGTCAACAACAGGGTCGACATGATCAAAAAGTGATAAGGAGAACTGGCAATTAACACTTGAAAGGAAAGGCGAATAATAACATAATGGGCAAAACAAACCAAATACACCATCCTAAACCAATGTACAAAGTTTAAGGACAAAGCATACACTCGTGTGGCCAGCTCTCAATGTTTTGTATAGACATTGTTGGTGGACATCAATGATCTGCAACAAAGACACGATCCCTTAACATGAAGAGTTAGTAAAATTGTAATTAAATTATAACGAGGCTCCTAAAGGCTTAAGATGCAGAATTCAGATTGAGTGACAGGATGCAGAATTCAGCTACTATGGTAGCCTTCTTCCTTTTATAATTGGCCTACACCGCCTATCTATCAAATGTTAAACTAATAATTGGACAAAGTCAATTAATTCCAAAATAGCAAAAAGGAAATTTTAAGAACTTCGATACATCTCTTTCATAGTTCAGTAAATGTACAACAATTGGCCCTAGTTTCTTCCCGTCCTAACTAGTTTCTTCTCAAAAAGCATGTTTTCACTGTCTCGCATCTAAACTGCCCGGCACAATTGCTTACACCACACCAATGTGTACATAAAACCAATTGTATTATCAGTGCTGAAACAAAAACCAAATCACTAAAAAAATGATATACCTTCACATCTCCAGAATCATCAGGAGCAGCTAGGAAAGATGATTTAGAGTGGCAAGCAATCTGCAGAAATAAATGACTTAAAAGAAAAGGAAATGAACTGGCCTAAAATTCACATGTAAGAACATAATGCTCGGCCATTGGAGGCAGAATCACTTGGTTTATTTCTAGTAATACCTAAGGGGCGCCAACAGGAGCAAAAAGAAAGATCCACATTAACAAGAATGTATAGAGTATATTTAATAATTTGCATATAAATTCCGAGGAAAATGAGCCAGCCCCATGATGGAAGTTCTAGATTGTACTACATTTTTTTGTTACATTTAAATATTTCTACTCTAGTTTGGGGATGATGGCTTAGAATCTTAGATTCAAGTTTAACCATTTGTAGGAACACTTATGCAATGAATCCATAGTATCGTTGGCTGCATGTGTACAATCAAAAGTGACTGACCGATAGACATGAGGAAAATGAAAATTAAGACATCAACACCAAGTTATACCTCTTAAACAATTTCAATGCAGTAACTTAAACAAAATGCATGCTGACTAGATCACAACTGCAACAAAAAAACACACATTGTAGGGAGGAAGTTTAAGAAGAGCAAACTAGTATACCTGATTTATTTCATCCTTGTTATAGTTGTAACACCCTAGATGCTTCCATGAAGCTATCTGACATATATAACAAACGTGTCTGCATTAGTACACCACTGATTGTAATTTTTTCGACTTCGATCATTTTCAGATTTCTTAGCATTATATAAAGAAAAAAAAAGCACCATTTTGAGATAAGCACATCTCATACACCAAACCAAAAAGATAAACTTCAAAAAATGTACCATATGCAAATCAAAGCACTTGACTTCATTTCCTGCAGAAACGTAGATGATATCCTCATTCCCTGTAGCACCAAACAGCACATGAAAGAACAGTAAGGCTGCCGTTAAGGTAAACCTAACGGTTAGGCAGATCCTTGCACCGCAACTAAAGATGAAACTAACCAGGCTTAAAGCACAAAGATGAAACAGGGCTTCCATTCCCTACATTCGCCGTAAACAACACATCCTTGCACCGCAAATCATACCAGCACGCGATGCCATCCTGTTCATCAAATCGAAAAGTAAGTCTAGATTCCACAAAACCCAGAGTGACAATTAGGGTCACTCTATTGTCTATTGGGTGTGTGCAGAACAAGAAGAGGTACCTCGGCGGCGGTGACAATGACGCCTGGACGACTGAGGGAAGCCAGACAGCAAGTGGCGGCGGCGTTGTGCCCTCTCAGTCGTCGCGGTTCCGCCATGGCGATGACGGCGTTGTAGAAATCGTGTTATGTGCTTTGGTGGACGACTGGATGGAATGCGTTTTCTTTAGTTGAGACTAATTTTTTCCATTTGTAAAACGAAAATCCACGTTTCCAATTAGAATTTCCCTATGGACGCTTCTTCATAAGTGAGGGTGAGCAATTAATAAATAAATTTGAATTTTAATTAAAGATTTAAACTTGATCTAAAATGGTGTTTTCAACACTCAACTAAAAAAGAAAACATGGAGAAAACAAGTTTCAACTACGAAATAACCAACCTTTGAGCATAAAATCTCAATTTTTACCTTAAAAGATTCAACTTTTAACCAACTAATCACACTAGATAAGCAAAACAAAACAAAATAAAATATAAGAACTTCAACGAAAATTGAGTCAATCCACATGAATTCCGACCAAGATGTCATTTCTACCTCAAATCACGTAGTAAGGAGAAATGAAACAACTTCGAAATAATAAGTCGTAAACTAGGTATTTACTTTTCTATTAGGTGCTCGGTCAAAATCAACGTAAAAAGCTTGAAACTTTAATTAAACATGATTCTTGAAGCTCCCAGACACAAAGAGAGAAAAACTTCAAAAAAAAAAGAGTTAATTGCTAAACTAAAAAAGTGAGAAATAAAAGTTTGGTGTAAAAAATACAAAGAGACGAAATTTATCATGGTTCTGAAAACTGGATCGGTCATCGAACCGGTGAAGCGACTGGTTCAATGGTTCACTAGTCGAACCAGTTGCCGAAGCAGTCGAACCGGTTTAATTAATAAATAATTTTTTATTTATTTTATATGTATAATATAAATTTATATATATATATATATATATATATATAAATTTTATTATTAATTCTATTAATTTTATAGTGTATGACATTTCTCTAAATAATAACTCAATAGTAGATACAATCGACAATGTTGATTAATTTTTATATTTTTTTTATTTTTTTTTATATTTAAATTTTAATTTATATTTAAGTTACAAAATAGAAAAAATAGAAATAATCCTATTTTCATTTTAAATCACATTTCAAACTTTTTATTATTGCTTAAAAAAAATAATGTACATAACAAACAACAATAATTTGTTTATTTGTTTTTTTATAAATTGGGAATAGATATAGCCCAATTGATAGTTCAGTTTAAAAAATAGTTCATTTTTTTTAATGAGTACAATATTGTTTGTAAGACCCAATATTGACCCAATAATTTTGTCAAAGGAGCATATCCCATATTGGAAACACAAATAAAAAAAAGATGTGCTCTTTAAATCACTTCACAATCAACCAATTTAAAATTCAAAATCCTGAACCGTTGAACCATTCGAACTGGTCCCGGTTCACCGGTTCAACCGGTTTGAACGGTTTTTGACCAGTTCAAACGCTGGGTGGTTTGGTGGTCCAAAACAGACAGGAATGAAGCCGGTTCCTGGTCCAACCGGTTGAACCGGCCGGTCTGGTCCAGTTTTCAAAACAATGGTATTTATAGTCACATCTAAAACACACACTAAACAATGCACAATCACTAAAAAGACACTCGCCAAGTGACGAAATGCCTGCTAATAGCAGACAGTGCAAAAACAACTTGAGAGACACTCGCCGACTAACGGAATGCCCGCTCGTTGGCGAGTGTGTTCGAGCTTCGCGCGCGGGCCACTGACGGGTGTGCTAATGGGCTATCTGCTGCACGACAAGAGAGGATGAGGGTCGGCGACGTTGCACGGGTTCCCTGACGACAGCATGCGGTGCGACAGGCCTTTCCCGTCAATGTTGCGGTACTCGCGAGCCAACTGATTCGCTAGCCCGAGTTTCCTCTTCCCTTGGCGACGACTACGGACGAGCATCGACGTCTAGCGTGGATGGACCGGCGAGCCTCGGCAACATCATGCGGGTGTTGCGAGCGAGCCTCGACGACGTCGAACAGGGTCTCACTGTGATGCACGAGCGACGTGTGCGAGAGTGCGGGGTTGTCCGCGGGCTATGGCACACGGGTCCACAAGACTCTGATCGAGTCGACCAGTCTAGAACTTTTCTGTGAGTTTTCCAACAAGTTTTCTGGAGACTTTCCGACGAGTTTTCTGGCACATTTCCGGCGCTGTCAAACAAAAGTGGAACGTATTTTCATACACAATAAAATATGAAAAGAGAAATAAAAAATATAAGACACCAAAACAACTAAATGGAATGAGAGTTAAAACGAACACAAATAAAACACATAATGTAACAACAAAAATATACAAAACAACAAACATCTCAGGGCATTTCTTCATTTTTTCTAAACGACGACTCGTACCAATTTGCTGGTGGTTCTCCATCTGAAAGGCCTATTGCGGTGAAAAAAGTCAAACTGAAAAGGAAGATAAATGATGAATCAACATCGACCATCAACACCTTGCAAGAAACAAACAATAAACTTCTTGATGAGCTAAAAAAGACAAACGAACAATTGAAACACCCAATAGAGATGCAAAACAAATTCCACGCTTTACAAAAAATGAGAAGAAAATAAAATTTTGTTTCATGATGTCAATTTCATAAAATATCCTAGGTTTCGAGCGTATATTGAAGGTGAAAATGCACAAATCTTGGAGAAAGGAGCTCAATAAACCCAATAAGATCAATTCCAACCAACACAGTTAGGCCGTTTTTCAATAATTTGGGAGGAAGTGATGCCAATTTGGCATCTATATCTATATATATATATATTTACTAGCTAATAGCATTTAAAAAAACCTATTTAATAAAACCTCTCAAATTTTCCCTCCATTTTCAGTTACAAAATTTATCATTAATGTTTTTTACTTCTCACATTAATACATCCTATTGAGTGTAATCATGTATTTTCTATTATATTATATAATAATTAATGCTAATACCAACTATTAATAATTAATAAATAATCATTAATTTATTTTTCCTAATGATTAAATTTTAAAAATGTAATATGTTCATTATATAAAATTTTAATATTAAATTCTCAAATATTACTTATTATATTTTATGTACATCTGTGCATGTGCACATGATATTTACTAGTATTACTAAATATATGTTGTTAGTTTCATAATTTATGATATATTTTAGTTTTTTCTATTTGTGTGTTAGTTTCGCAATTTATGATTTATTTTTATTTTCAGTAGTTCTATGTTGAGTAATTTGATAATATTAATGTCCTTTTTATGTGCTAAATTTGCAGTCTTCTTTCTTAAATTAATACGGTTTGTATTTTTTTAAAAAATACTAATAAATAACAAATAATATTTATTAAATAAATAAAAAATTCACTAATTATGCATGTTTATGTATTTTATTTAAAAATAATGTTTTTTTTTTAATTTTCAGCAATAGTGATGATTTTTCATGATAATGTTTAATATGTGCAAAATACAATTATACAAAGTAAACGGGCAAGAAATAGAATTTTGAATTTTGAACAATATTTTCGTCCAAGCATAGTGGAACGCATATTTGCGTTTTTATGGAGAGAGAAGAAACAAAATCCTATTTTGGATTTGATTCAGTTGGAGCAAAATCCCCTCAAATTTTGCGTTTAGTTGTAGTGTTACAATACTACATGACCTTGTATATTTAGCCTAAGAATTCTCAGAAACTACATGGTTCATGATTGTTGCACAAAGTGTTACAATACTTGATATTACACTTACTGCAAGAATACAACGTAAACTCTTTTCTTTTATGTGTGCTGCCCAATGATTTTTCAGTTTCCTTAGCAGTAAATAGGTCCAGTCTGAAAAACCGCTCAAAACTTACTCTAGAAACGTCAAAAGATAAAGTTGTGTTCGGCTTTTACAAAATAAACTTCTCTTGATTAAATTTCGAGGTAATCTACATTTATTGATATCACTACAAAGAATGAAGACATCATTCAACAAACACACAAATCACCTCTAATTTCCATGATTCCTAATCCAAAACCAACGCCTATCTAAATCCACAATGTACAAAAATCAGCTTCAAACCTATTTTCCCTACTTACAAATGTAGAACAAAACAAACACACACACACACACACAATCGAAACAACAGTGGGATAACACCTCTTTTGTATCATCTAACAGCAGAAGCCACGCTATGGGCCCACCACTTGAGACTATCCTTCATATCAATCTCATTCATAACCGCAGGCATTATCAACTCCATCAGCAATGGGCCTGGGCCCGTCTCTCTATCACAAGCACCCCAGGCCTCAGAAAGATACGGCCTTGCCCTCGGCCCAACCAATTGTTCCACCCTTCTCCCTTCCTCGAGGCCCAATTTCTGCAGCCCAGGAACTATCTCCACTAAGCCCGGGTCCTTTTTGTCTTCCTCTGAAAACACAAAGCCCAAATCCATAAACCCCTTCATCTCCTCAAATTCCAGCTCCGATAAGCTCTTCGTGAACCGGATCTTCTTCTTCTCCTTCTTCTTTTTCGTAGCCGGCTCAGTGAATTCCTTTACCGGTTTATCGAGCGGGTCAATCTCTCTCCCCGACAGTATCGTCTGGAGATTGGGTTTTCGAGAAATTCGAGGTGAGAAAACATCAGTGCCGACGATTGGGATTTTTATCAGCTGATCGCTTTTCGATCTGGTGTGGATCGTCAGCCGGCGCGTGAGGCAGGGCTCCGGCGGGATTTCTGTGATTCGGGGATTAGGGTTTAGATCGCCGATCGAGGGATTTGGCTGGTTTTCGAAGGGTTTGATGTAGAACCAGGAGGAGTCGAGGAGGTTCAAAACGGCCTCAGCTTCCATTAATGGCGGCCGATAATAGAATATGATGGAGTAGAAAATTTGGAGAAAAAGGGATTTTTGAACGTTAGGGTTTTGATTTTCGGAATTTGGGGGAGAGAGTGTTATATATAGCGTATAAATGGGACGCGGACGGTAATGCCCTTTGAATTTCACTTCAGCGTTGTGAAAATGATTCAAATTTCAAAATGTTTAATAAAGTAGTAAACACGTTTTGCTCCTGAATAATTTTATAACCTACTAACAACCTTACTGAACTTGTATTTTTCTATAATTGTTGATTTTTTTTTATTTATTTTTTTTTTTGGGGAGTCTTAAGAAATATCTATTCGTTTATATTTGGTAGGTGACTATAGTGACCTCATTTGCATTTTCCTTATATAAACCTACAAGTTAGATAGATAATGAAAAATGAAATATCTTTTTCCATTTTCAATATTACGAAATTGCTGCAGTATTTCGTGCAATACAAAGCGAAAAATAATATATGCTTTATGTATATAAAATATTATTTTAAATTATAAGTTATCCAACAATATAAAATGAGAAAAATTATGAAAATCTTAATTTTAACGGGAGTACTCGCACATAATTTATTTATTATTAAACTAACTAGTGTGTACCCCGTGCGATGCACGGAAACAATGTTAAATCTACAATATTATAAATAGACTTCGAGTTTGAGTTACTAAGTGGAAACTACTATGGATTCTATTTAAAAAGAGGAAGAAAAAAAATAATTATAAATTAAAGAAGAGGATAAACAATACTTAATAATTATAAATTAAAGATTCGGGGTCAAACAATATAAAATTATTTTGCATAAGAGAAAATAAAATTTGCATTATTTTGTATAAGAGAATATAAAATTTGGACCTTTAATATTAAAACACCTAAAATGTTATATTAGTATATGTAAAAGTATTCAAAATTTTCTATATTATTTATGCAAGATGTGAAGTCACCTACAACTTTTCTAAACAATTTAGAAGGAAAATATATCTAAAAACATCATAATTTAACATTGTGTAAAAAAAATTTTCTAGACTGTTTTGTAGAGAAAACATGTCTACAAATATTTAAATTTAACATCAATGATGTATATGTGTGTATATATATGTATATATAGACGAATATGTAAAAAAAATGTCTAAACAATGTGTTTAAAATATCTAAAATATTATAAGACTAATTTAATAAAGACATTCAGATGATACCGAATTTATGGTGTTACTTCCATCTAACAAAATTTGATTACACACAATTTCAAAATTATTATTATACATTTTACGTTGTTTTCGAGGATGTATTGTTAGTTTATAATATTTGTAAAAATATTAGTAATAAGACTGATGAAAATTAGCAGCGCTCGAGGATGCATTATTAGTTTATAATATTTGTAAAAATATTAGTAATTAGACCGATTAAAATTAGCAGCGCTCGATATGGGTTGGTATTTTTTTTTTTAAATAAGGGATGAGATTTTGAGTACCATAAAAACAGGTAAAAAAAATACAAATATTTATTGTCACCGGCGGTTTTGAGTAAAAAAAATAGGAAAAAGAAACCGCCGATTTTTTTTTACCAACAATTACTATATAAGATACATTTAATGATATTGGCGGGAAAAACTTGCTAAATTTGTAAAAAGGTTATTCTTTTTATATAATGATAGATGAAGGATAATAAAATTAATTTTCAAAATATATATAATGCAAAAGGAGTAATTGAGTACTAGGTAAGCGAGCCGCGCCGAACTCGAGCTTAGGGTGTTTGAGCTTGAGCTTGAGCCCTTAACGAGCCGAACCGAGTTCGGCTCGTTGAATAAACGAGCCAAAAATCGAGCAAAAATCGGCTCGTTAAGGCCTCGAGCTCGAGCCTTAGCGAGTCGAGCTATAAAAAATTATATAAAAAATTTGTTTTCGAGTCTTAACAAACTCATCGAACCGAGCCGAGCTCGACTCGTTAATCAAACAAGCTTTAAATGAGCTCGAGCTCGGCTCGTTAAATTTAACAGCACTATTGAGTACCTAATTTATAATTAGTAATTTGTAAATAGTGACTTCAAAACAAAGTGAATAATACTCCCTCCTATTCATAATAAGTGTCGTTTTAAGAAGTTGCATAGTAATTAAGAATATTTTTTTTGCCAATAATAACCCTTTTTAATGATGATAGAAAATGATGTTTTGGGAAAAAATGAATAGTGAATATGAAAAGACGTAGTGTATTTATTAGATTAGCTAAATGAGGGTAATAATGGAAAAATATGTACACAAGATCCAAAACGACATTTATTTGATTAATAGTCTGTAGTTCATAAAGCCAAAATGACATTTAAAAAGAATAGGAGATACTATATACGTATGTATGTCAGATACTAAAAAAATAATGGCCAAAATTTTAAAATAAGCAATGAATATTGGGCAGAAAATTTTAAAAATTGTGATTTAATTATTCCAAATTTGATATATGTGGATATTGTTATTGTCATTTGTTACTATGCAGACTCTTTAAATATGAACTACGACCAAAGTCTAAGTTCATCAATAAAGTTAAATAATAAATAGCAAAAAGCGATTGCTTAACGAAGATATATTATTCTTTAAAGAAATTTTAAACTAGTGTGAATATGTGATTGATAATTGATGAATCGAAGATATAAGACCTTTTGGTACAAGTCTTAAAGAAATTTTAAACTAGTGTGAATGTGTGATTGATAATTGATGAATTTCGCGTGATATATTTGTTGTTGGTAATATTTAAAAGAAACTCATAGTGAGTGGTGGCGCACTCGATTTGACCGGAATAAATAACACAATTCTCTCCAGGGAAGGGCTGTTTGGTAAAACTACAGTAGAGAAACTATCGATCAAAGGGCTGTTTGGTAAAATCAAACTCCTCACGAGAGTATCGTGATGAGAACGCGCGTCTTTAAAAGTCGTCGTTGACCGATAAAAATAGTATTTTCAGATAAGGGCTGCGATTGCGATTGTTATCTTTAGAGCACATTTGGTTGGGGAGATTAGATAGGATAACCCCATTTATCTTGGGTTATCCCATATTTGTTGTGCATGATATTGGCCCGCAACAAAATCCTGGGCCCGCGACAAAAATGGGCTAATCTTGAATATGTGAGATAAATTAATCTCCCCGCAGACCCCATGATTCAATCTATCTGTACAGTCCAAAACAGATGAAATGACCATTTAACCCTAAAAAAGGCACGGGAAAATTACGTAACTGCAAGTAGTTTACTTTTAAATTCGAAATAATAATAACTGCTCATTATTCATATCACATTCACTCACATCAATATTTGAATGTTTAAAAATAAAAAACCACCCTTAAAAATAATACGTATGTCTGCAAAATTGAAAGAAAAAAAAACAAGTCCATAAAACATAAGAAAAAAAAGCATCGAAAAAATGAAAAGAAATATTAAAATAAGGAAGAATTTGACAAAGAAAAAAAGGAATTTTGCATCAAATTAAGCTTGAAAAAGAGAGATGGAAACGAAAATTCAAATTTGTACCTTATACTAAATCTGGAAAAAATGTAAGTATTTAATTAATGTTTTATAATATACAAAAATATTAATGAGAAAAAATAAATTAATTGATTTAATACAATTATTTTTTGTTTACAACTGATTGGAGAATCTTAAAAAAAAACCTAGAAATACACTTAAGAATATAAATAATAAATACAAAAAGAAAAAATAAAAACAACCAGTAAACAACTACAATATTCACTGAGTTCAAAAAAAACAAAAAAAAATTCACTGAACGCAATAAAAAAATACTATCTCACACCAAAATACAAAAAATTGTTCTTATCTGTTCTCGAGTATGACAAGCAAATTGAAAAAATCTAAATTCAACTCAAACACCTCTCAATTGCAATTGAAATGAAGCTTCAATTTAACCATGTCACATCTAACTAGGGGCACTTATAACCACACCACTCAACACAAATCTTTGTCTTCGATCGAGATTTTTCTTTTATTCCAAACGACACACGAAGAAGCAGGTAGAAATGGTCAGACTCCTCCGTTCGATGGCATGTTCTTCTTTCATTTGTTTCTAAATTTCATTTTTTTTGTGTGTGTTTTTTTCAGAGTTGTGTGTTGTGTTATATACGATCAATATTTTTTTTTCTTTTTGAAGTTCTCTCTTAACCCTAACCCTAACCCACAGAACAGTGCATTTTGGATAATTAAAATTTCGGATGTTGCACAGGGAATTAGGAATGTTGAAGAAAAGAACATCAGGGGCACTTTAGTCAATCTATACCTTAATCGAACTTATTATCATGCCTAACAAATGTAGGTTATATTTTTATCCATTCTTAACCAAAGCACAAATCATGCAATACAAACATTGGAACACTTTTATCTTAACAGTGCAATCCGGCCACAAGTGATAAAAAAAGTCTAATCTCATCTTGGAAACCAAATGTGCTCTTAATATACTAACTACAGTCACACGTGAAGTATGTCTTGAGGGCCGTTGTGTTATTACTAACCATCTATATTTAGTATATGTTAGGCTTCATCATTGAAACGATTGAGCTCAAGTTTCTAACAATTGAGTTCGGGCTCGAGCCATTATCGAAAAAATCATTATCCAGAAAGTCGAAGTTCAATGAGTTTGACACGTTAGCTTAACGCGCCTTAGACAAGCTCGAGTTCCGTTCAGCCTCAATGCAGGGGCGTAGCTAGCTAGTGGCTAGCCTGGGCTTCAGCCCGGGTCATTTTTGTCCCTCTTTTAGTATATTAACTTGTATGTGTATATTTTGATTTAAGCTCATGAATATTGGGTGATGACTAANAAAGTTAATGTAATATCATTTTTATTTATTGGTAACACTAATTTAACATTTTTATGTGAACTCATTCTTTGGTGAACTAACATAACTTATTAGATATTTTACTTTGAGGAACATGTATATTATTGATGAAAATGTGATAATCTTTAATTTCATAATTAAAATGAGTTTCA